AGACCTAAACTCTTGGGGGTTATCATGCAAAGGAATAGCCTGATCATCCTAAAATAAAGCCCAGGTGAACTCACCTAGGTCCACAGAGCTGCCCACCAGCTCTTTAGTGCTCTACTCTCAGTGTGACTAATGGATAGGCAAGGATGACCAGAGTAAAATGGAAAAAAGAAAGGACAAGAAAAAGAAAGGAAAGAAACTTGGAGGTAACAGAAACTATGTAGGGAGAAGAAATTTTCAGAAACTATCATTAATTTCAGAGAGATCATGATATATTGAATGCATAAGAACAAGATACTATCAGTAAGGAATTGTTTAAAAAGCTCTTGGAAATTACAAATAGAGCAGAAATTAAAAATTCAATAGGAAGGCAGATGAAGTTGAAGAAAACTACCTTAAAAGTAGAGCAAAAAGACACAGAAATGGAAAATTGGAGAGAAAAGCCCTTCACCTTTTGTTAGCATTTTGCCACGTTTGCTTTTTCTCGCTCCATGTTTACAAATAATAATGATTTTCTTACTGGTATTATTTATTGAAAAGTAAGTTGCAGACAACATAACCCTTCATTGCTAAGCATTTCAGTGTTTGTCTCCAAGGTAAAACGACCAATTTTAGGAGATTTCACATCTATACAAAACTATTAGATAACGTACAGACCATTATGAAATTTTACCAATTGTTTCAACACCATCTTTGAAGCAGGACTCCTCTGCCCCATCCAGGACCCAGTCCAGTCTCTAACGTCCTTGCATCTGGAGCCAGCCTTCTGTCTTTCCTAATGTTGACAGTTTTGAAGAATTGTAAAGCTGCTTGCTTGTAGAATGTCCCTGTATTGGGGTTTACTGATATTTCCTCATGTTAGGATTCACATTGTACGTTTTTGGCCAGAACACCACAGCACATGGTGTCAGTTGTCCCATTAGGAATGATGTTAACTCTGATCATTTGGTGTTTTCCCTTCCTAATTAGTAAATAATCTGTGGGGAGATACTTGGAGACAGTACGTGGATATCCTGTTCTCAACATATTTCTCCCCAGTGGTTTGACATTTATTGGACATTGACTCTCCACCAAACTCCCTCGTGAAGTTTAGTTGCAGGTCAACACCTTGATTGGCATTTTAGGTAGACCCCAGAGTTCACTTTGGGCTGCCAATGAGAGACTTAGCTTTGGGAAATACATTGATTTTTATCAGAAAGGTTTTATTCCATTTGGGACAAAAATGCTCTTCTGGGTTTAAAGTCTGAAAGGCCAGATTCATTTTTTCATTTGTTCAGTATTGGTTGAGTGCTTACTGTAGGCCAAGTGCTATTCCAGGTGCTGGGGACAAAATGATAAAAAAAATTTAAAAAGTTAGCCAAAATAAAATCCTTGGCTTCCTGGAAGGTACATTCTAATGGGGTGGGGTGGGGGGAGAATCAGACAATCAGTCTGTCCTCTCTTGTCAGGTAGTGATAAGTGAAGGAGACACAGAGTGATGAAGTAAGGAGTCCTTCTTGAGGTGGGCTGTCCAAGAGCTCTGAGAAGCTGACCTTTGGGCAGAGACCCCAGTGTCTCAAGGGAGCAACTGTGACTCAGGTGGGAGGCCTGCCTAGCAGGCTGGAGGAGCAGCTGGTGAGAGGCCTGGACATGAACTTGATGTGAAGTAGTGGAAACGTAAGGAGGTAGGGGTGGCTGGAACCGAGACATTAAGTCAGGGAAGAACGGTGGTGAATGAGGTTGGGGAGAGGTCCGGGCATGGTGATGGCCGGCCGTGTTGACCGTGATTAGCGAGCTAATGGGAAGTCCAGGTTTGAGGGGGTCAGCTCCTCAAGAGGACATGGGATCCAGCAAGACCTCTTCATGACACCAGCATGTCGGGGCCGGGGCTTCCGGTGGTGGTCTGCCATGGGCTAGCCCCCAGGAGTGACCGGCTCTGAGGACCCTAGGTGCAGCAGTGGGCTTTCTGCATCCAGGCAGGAGTTTCTCGGGAAAGGGATAGCAGGAAGTGAGCAGTTGGAAAATGCCTGTTTTTCCCTGCTGCTGTGGGGAAGGCAGGAGGGGGCTTGCCGGCAAGGTGCCTGTTTCCCCAGCACCCTGGGCGGCTAGGGCAGCCTTTGACAAGCCTTGGCAGTCAGGGGCACGCTCGGAGGCCCAGCAGCTTTCTGATCTGGAGCAGCCGGGGAGCTCTAGGCTACGCTTCCAGGACCGGGTCCATTGCCAGCAGGGCTAGGCTCTTCTCCAGCATCAGCTCTGCCTTTGTCCCCGGTCCATCTCCCCCACACCCAGGGAGTGCCTTTGCTCATGGCCTTTCTCCCCATGGCCCAGCCCAGGCAACCAGAGTAACAATGAACACAACAAGAATGAGAGCTTGCCTTTGAGGAACACTTTTCGGGGCGAGCAGGAGGCGGGGGTGAAGGGGGTCACTTTCTAAATGCTTCCCGTATCCTGCTCATTGACTTCTCGGAACAGCCCAAGGTTACAAAGCTACTACGTGTAAAGCCAGGGTTTGATCCCAGGCTGATTGGTGCCAGCTCCACTGTGCTCCCCCACGCTGCACTGCAGATAGCATGGGATCCTCCTAGAGTCCACTGTCAGGGCCACGGCAGTGCCATTCGACATATTTCAGGCAGTCTCCTGCCTCTTGAGATCTTGGCGTGCTTGACCTCCGGCCTCTGACCCTGGACTGTTAGAGACTGGTGGGAGTGAGAAATGAGGAACTGTTTTTTCTGCTGCCTCTCTTTCAGGGTAATCCAGAGAGTCTTAGGAAGTGGGGTGATGTTTATTTAGCGTCTCCAGTGGTCCAGACGACATGTGTTGTTTAATGTTAACAACAGCTTTGTGGGGCATAATTTTATGACCACCCTTTAACAGATGAGGGGACCGAGACTCTGAGGTTAAATAGCACGCCCAAGGTCTCACCGCCAGTAAGAGAGTCACATGTTGGCTCAGGTCCCACGTCTTCTTCGCACCACACTGCTTTGCCCGCTGGAGCAAACGGACCAGAGGCCTTTGATCCTCACTAGAAGTCGTATGCTTGAGATAGCACCTGTGGACAACTCCCCTAGGCGGGTGGATGACAGTATTGGGCCTTTCAGCAGGTGTTGAAAGACCACCAACTCTAGGGGGAGAAGGCCATGATTCCAGCTTGCTGCTGCCGCACGTCACAGCCTGACAGTGGATAAGTCTCAAATCACCGTCAGCACTTTTTACTCAACTATGAAATGGGGATTAAAATCACTGACCTCCTCAGACCAAATATGAAAGTATAGGTTGGTGGTTCTTAGCTTCGTCTCAAGGTGTGTAGATGACTGTGAGAATTTGCGGCAGCGTTAAATGCACCTTCAGGGCTTCTCTTTCGGTTTCCTGGACAAGCATGTCTGAATCTAGAGCTAGGAAGTCAGGGTCTTTAGAGAAACATCCCAGCTGATTTTAAAGCCCCATGTTCCTTTCCTGCCCTTAAGATTTATGTTGAAGCGCTACATATATATATAAATGTGAGAGTCATGATAACAGTTGTAGCAGATGTTATTAGAAATAGAGAAAAGGACTTAACCAAAACCAGGTGGTATTGGACCAGGACCCTAGCCTACAGAGTCTGTTTAGGAAAACTACACAGTTTCCTTCTGGTAAAACAGTGGTTCTCAACTGTGGGCAGTTTTATCCCCTGGGAGACATTTGGCAATGTCTGGAGACATTTTTGGTCGTCACATCTGAATAGAGGGTTTCACTGGCATCCCAGTAGACGCCTGCAATGCTGTTAAACATCCTGCAATGCACAGGACATCCCTGGCAACAAAGAATTATATAGGCGAAAATGTCGGTGGTATCAAGATTGAGAAACCCTGGATTAAAAATAACCAGCACTTACGTAGTATTTACTATGTGTCAGACATTGTTCTAAGTTCTTCACAGGTATTGACTTGCTTAATGCTCCCAAATCTATGACATAGGCGCTATTATTATCCTCAGGTGACAGAGCTAAAGTAGGGGCGTGGGAGGTTAAATAACTGGATCGGGGTCTGGGTCCCGAGGAAGGAGCCAGCCGAGCCAGGACTTGAACTCAGACATTTGGACTCTAGTTTTTGCCTTTAACCACTGAATATCCTGTACTGCTTTGCACTAATAGGACTGCTTGGCTTTAAACCAGATTTTCAGCTTTGGGCTCAGAAACCCACATACTAGGCTGACTTCGTGAACTTGTTGCAGCGATGTTGCTAACCTTCTTTGATATCAGAGGGATTGTTCATTATGAATTTGTACCAACTGGATTGTTAACCAAGTTTACTATTTGGAAGTGCTGAGTGAAAAAGTTAGACGACCTGAACTTTTTGCCAACAATTCATAGCTCTTGCATCATGACAATGTACCAGCTCGCACGGCACTGTCTGTGAGGGAGTTTTTAGCCAGTCAACAAATAACTGTCTTTAAAAACCCTCTCTACTCACCTGATCTGGCCCCCAATGACTTCTTTCTTGACCCGAATATAAAGGAAATATTGAAGGGAAGACATTTTGATGACATTCAGGACATCAAGGGTAATAATACAATAGCTGTGATGGCCATTCCAGAAAAAGAGTTCCGAAATTGCTGTGAAGGGTGGACTAGGTGCTGGTATCAGTGCATAGCTTCACATGGGGAGTACTCCGAAGATGACCATAGAGATATTCAGCAATGAGGTATGTATAATAGCACTTTTTCTAGGACGAGTTCATGAACTTAATTGTCTGACCTTGTACCTAGAAATTTGGTATGTGAGAAGAGTCAGAAACCTTTTATTCCTGTGCCTCGAAAATAGAGAGGGGAGGCCTAGAGGGTAGGGTGGTGAGTTTTCTAGATTTTGAGTTTGGCCCAGTTCATGAATTTAGTGGCATGAGGCACCTCGTGGGAGTGGGTCAGCCTTTTGCTCCTTCTGTCGGAATCAGGCAGGGCAGGGGTCATCTTTCCGTGTTGGGGACCAGAGGATGACGGGACTGTGCAGAGTGGGCCTAACTGCAGCCCCGGGCCGTGTTATATCATTGCAGATATAAAGACAACTGTGGTTTACCCGGCCACAGAGAAGCACCTGCAGAAGTACCTGCGCCAGGACCTCCGCCTGGTGCAAGAGACAGGAGGCGATTACAAGAACATCACCTTACCCTACTTGGAGTCCCAGAGCCTCAGCATCCAGGTAATGGACCAGCACATCTTGGACTGGCCCGGAGGGGTCAGATACGGAGTGCTGTCCCCGTGGCCAGTGTCTCTTTCTCAAGCATCTGTCGCGGTCTCACCAGGGGCCAGCACTGTTCCACAGCACAAGTTCTGGGGCAGCGGCAGAGAGCACAGCAGAGTCCCTGCCTTGATGGAGTGTACTTCCTCACGGGAGAAAGACAGTACACAGATATACAAGTGGCCATATGGTGCGTGAGGCCATGAGTGTGCTACGGAGAAAAATAAGCAGGAAAGTGGCATAGAAAGTCCTAGGGTAAGGTGGTCACTGTTTTGCATAGGATGGTCATTGATAAGGCAGTTGACCCGGGTCTTGGGCATGCCCAAGGGGATCTCAAAGCAACCTAGTCCTTTGGAAGAACCTGTATCTACTCTGTAATAGCCCTCATATAGTCTCAGAGTGGCTGTGCTCTCGCCAGGGGTCTGAATGGGTAAAAATGATGCCTGATTAGGCTCGCCACAGTCCAGACTTTTATTTCTGGTTTTGCCTGCAGCAAACCAGCCTCCAGAAGCCACGTCCCAGAGTGAAAAACTTCCCCTTCTCTTTTCCCTTTCATTCACGTCATAGAAGGCAGGTCCCTATTGTCCCTGGGGCTTAGTGCAGGCCTCTTCTCCCAAGGGCTATGTTTGGGGGTTGGCAGCGTTTGGGGGTTGGCAGTGCCTTCTGAGTGTCTTTAGCCACTGGACCAGATACAAGGCCATTTAGCTAAGAGATCCCGATTTCTCTTTGGGTCTAGGCCCAGCGCCAGCCAGAGCCTCTGCATGGAATTGGCCCTGTGTGAATGCTCCACGTTAAATATGATGGATGAGTCGTTTTCTTGCTCACTCACTGGCTCTCACTGTCTCCATGTCTTTATCACTTACTCTTGTTCTCTTTTAGCATTTTTCACATACTCTCCCCAAGATTCATGTTCCAATAGTGGGGGAGTGTTCTTTTTTTTTTTTCTAATTAGCCATGCCCTTTGTACTGTTTTCTTTTGTTTTTTTAAGATTTTATTGGGGAATTGGGGAAGGGGAACAGCCAAGTTGTTGTCTTTCAGTCTTAGTTGTGGAGGGCGCAGCTAGCTCAGCTCCAAGTCCGGTCACCATCCGGCCAAACATCGGCAGCTCGCGGACGCTGAACTCAAGGTGCCGTGTTCAATCTTAGTTGCGGGTGGGTATAGCCCACCATCCCATATGGGAGTTGAACTGGAAACCTTGTTGTTAGGAGCACATGCTCTCACCAGCTGAGCCATCCTGCCACCTGTTGGCAGCTCAGCAAGAGCTCAGCTTGAGTGCAGTGTCACTGGCCCATGTGGGAATCAAACCGGTGACCCTGTTGCTCAGAGCTCGCACTCTTAACCAACTGAGCTACTTGGCCCCCGAGGGTGTTCTAATAGGGGGAACTCACAGCCATTTCTCCCAGGCCCAGAAGAAGAGGGGGTGCCCTCGGTGTAGGGGCACTGTGGGGTGACTATCCTCAGGAAGAGGAAGGAAAAGGAGGTTGGCAGGGTGGACAGGAGGCCCTGTGTGCCCACAGCCCTCTTTCCCAGCCTGGCTATTAGCCATGGTCTCCTTGTGCAGTATTTGCACAACTTCCTCTGGCTCAAGCTGGCTTGCTTTGTTTATTTATTTATTCCCAGCACTTGCTCTGCTTTCTAAGTAGAAAGGAGATATGTCTCCATCTTCCTAGATAGCTTCTGCTGTTAGGATCCTAGAGGGATCTCCTGGAACATATGAGGTATGATAAAAAAAATATGGTGAATATTTAAATTAAAAAAGAAATTATAGTATGAGCCAGCCGAGTGGCTCAGTTGGTTAAGAGCTCACTCAAGAGCTTGAGCTCTGAGCAACAGCGGTTCGATTCCCGGCCCGAGCTGAGCTGCTGCTAAGCTGCCAATAGGTAGCAGGATGGCTCAGCTAAAAAAAAAAAAAAAAGAAATTATTACAAAAGACACATTGTCATTAATCTTTCTCAAAATACTTCCTTCCCCCTCTACCCCCACACACACTTTAAACACACTTAACCCATTGTTCTTGCCACTTTCTGAAGCAGTTCTGGAAGTCCTCTTTCATGAGTGTCTTTAGTTGCATTGTCATGGCTGCCTTGATGGCCTGAATCGAGTCAAAATGTTTACCTTTCATGGTCATTTTGACTTTGGGGAAGAGCCAGAAGTTGCACGGTGCCAGATCCAGTGAATAAGGTAGATGAGGACACAACGTAATGTTTTTATTTGACAGAAACTGCCATACCAGAAGCGATGTGTGACACGTAGCCTTTCTGTTGTGATCACAAAATACAGTGAATTCTGCTGCCGAGTGCCATCCAGTAGAAGGGCAGAGATCTTCAATACAGGAAGCAATGCGTTGAACTTCGGTAACAGTGTGTGACAAGTTTTAATTTGTTCGGTGCAGTCAGTCAGGCGTGAGCTATGGTTGAGAGAAGGTGTGTTTTGTTTGTTTGTTTGTTTGTTTTTTTTAAAGATTTTTATTGGGGAATTGGGGGGATGGGAACAGTGCTGGGGAATTGGGGGGAAGGGGAACAGACAAGTTGCTGTCCTTTTGTTCTTCAGTCTAGTTGTGGAGGACGTTGCTTCACTGGCCCAAGTTGGCACCATCATTGCGCTCTTCCCGGGCGAGGCAGATCAGTCGCTGGTTTCTGGACGGCCGCTCACTGCGGCTGCTGGCCGCTCACGCTGGCTGCTGGCTACATACGGTAGCCCATGGCAACCCACTGCCACAGGGACTGCAGCCTATGCCGTCGCCAGCAACTCACGGCAGCCCAGCTCCAGGTTGAGCTGTTGTTCACCATCTTAGCTGTGGAGGGCAGTGTCACTGGCCCTCATATGTGGGATCTGAACCGGGGCCCTCTGGCATCCCAAGCGAGCTCTTAACCATCGCGCCACTCGGCCGGCCCGAGAAGGTGTGTTTTAAAGTGTGCCATAAATCATCCTCCATCATGACAATAATCCGTGTCACACATCACTTCTGGTTGACGGCAATTTCTTTTTTTTTAAAAAGATTTTATTGGGGAATTGGGAGAGGGGAACTGCGCTGGGGAATTGGGGAAGGGGAACAGACAAGTTGCTGTCCTTCTGTTCTGCAGTCTAGTTGTGGAGGACGTCGCTTCACTGGCCCAAGTTGGTATTATCATTGCGTTCTTCTCAGGCAAGGCAGATCCATCGCCGGCTACTGGACGGCCACTCATGGCGGCTCTAGGCAGCTCACACTGGCTGCCGGCCACTTACGCCGGCTGCCAGCTACTCACGCCGGCTGCCAGCTACTCACGGTAGCTTATGGCAGCCCACTGCAGCCTATGCCGTCGCGGCAACTCAAGGCAGCCCAGCTCCAGGTTGAGTTGTTGTTCACCATCTTAGCTGTAGAAGGCGCAGTATCACTGGCCCTAATGTGGGATCCGAACCGGGGCCCTGCTGCTCAGAGCTGGCGTCCCAAGCCAACTCTTAACCATCGCGCCACTCAGCCAACCCGAGACGGCAATTTCTGTCAAATGAAAACATTATGGTGTGTCCTCATCCACCTTATTCACCGGATCTGGCACCGTACGACTTCTGGCTCTTCCCCAAAGTCAAAATGATTCAGGACATTGAGGCAGCTATGACAGCACAACTAAAGACACTCACGAAAGAGGACTCCAGAACTGCTTCGGAAAATGGAAAGAATGATGGGATGAGTGTGTTTGAAGTGAGGGGGAATATTTTGAGGGGGATTAATGGCAATGTGTCTTTTACTATAATATATTTTTTTATTTAAACATTCACCATATTGTTTGATCACACCTTGTATATGTGCCTTCTTATACAATATTATACAGATTCTCTTGGAAAATAACACAAAATTCTGCTACCCTCCCAACTTCTGGTTGACATGAGCATTCATGTATTCTTTCTTGGCTATTTCTTGGAGGTTTACAAGTACTCAGCTTAACGGGTAACAGTCATTATATTTATTGAGCATGTCCTATATATGTACCAGGCCCTGTGCTAGGCTCCGGAGGGTCACCAAGGTAAACACTGACAATCTCCCCATAGTCCTACAGGAAGATAGACACATTGTTTGATAACTGCAGTATAAAGAATTAAGCACTTTGGTGGTTTACATACAAGGTACAATGGTGACACAAAGGGGTAGTGATCAGCTCAAACAGTGGGGGGCTTCACAGAGGAGGGGACCCTCCAGTTGGGTCTTAAGGGGCAAATAGAAGTTTACCAGGTGGACAAGGCAGATAGGGCCTTCCGGGCGGAGCGAAGATCTAGTACAGAAGCACAGAGGGCTGGGGAGTCGGAGGGTCAGCAAGCGACAGCAGGCGAAGGGCAGCAGGGGCCAGGAGGAAGCGTGTGCACTTTGTCCAGGAGATCAGGAGTTCCCACGTCTTGATGACTGTCAGGATTGCCTGGTGAGATTTTTAAAAATGCGGAGCCTAGGGCCTTACTCCATATCTGTTGAATCAGAATGTTCAGGGAGCTGGGAAATTCATATTTTTAAAAAATCTGTTTCTAATGGTCCTCAGATTTGAGCGTGATTGCCATAGGCAGTGAGGGTCCCCTCCACAGTTTTAGGCATGTGGGTAACGTGATCAGATTTACAGAATCAGTTGGAGTGTCGTGAGAATGGAAGCAGGAAGACTACAGCTCAGCATGGGCCGGAGCCGAGGCAGAGGCAGCGGGGAAGGTTCAGTAGCGATTTAATTAGGCGGTAGGGCTTAGGAACTAGTTGATGCGGAGAGGTGAGGGACGAGCCTGGGATGGTCTCCGGTCTAGCCTGGGTGATGAGTGGACAGATAGCAGGATTGTTAACCAGGACAGGGGATGTGGGCAGCAGAGAAGGTTTATGTGGAAGACAGTGAGTTCAGTTTGGGACTTACTGAGCCCTCACTGGGTGCCAGGATCTGTCCTAAGCATTTTACGTGCATCGCCTCATTGAATATCCACAATAACCCTTCAGGGATGGGATTCGAAGCCAGGCAGTGTGGCCCCAGCACCTGTGCACTTGGCCTGCTACCCTGTTTGGCTCCTCAGATTTGGTACTTGTAACTTCCAGTAAACACTGCAGTTCCGTGGGATGTCTGGGTCCAGAACATGAGAGATCATCAGGCTAAAAATGCCGTTGGTGAGTCCCTGAGTCAAGGCTTCAAGCATCAGCCAGGTTTGGGTTCTCATTCTGCCTTCTCAGAGCAGTGTGGCACGGTCCTTCACTTCTTGTCTGGAAAATGCCACTAGGGTCCCGGTGGAAATTGAGAGCAGTGCCTATTGCACAGAAAAGGCGCCAGAGTGAGGGGTAGCTACCGTTATGCACACACAACTGGGGGACAGGACAGGGAAGTGCAGAGCGGAGACACATGGAGGTGTGGGCAGGTAAAGGGTGGCAAGCAGGTGGGTGAGCAGAGAAGCAGGAGCGTGAAGAGGGAGCAAGATGTCCAAAGGGAGGAGAGGGGGTCCGGAGGGCACTGCCAGTGTCACTGCTAGGAGGCCATGCTGGGTGCATTCCACAGGCCATGTGTGCCCACCCACAGGCCCATCATGGTCGCTTTCTTTCAGAGGGTGTCACTGCCTGTTATGGAACCCTCTAGGAATTGTGTGGATTCTGTTCCCTGGTTCTCCCTTTCTCACCTGCGGTTCTGGCCTGAGACTTCCTGTGGATTTAGACTTCTCCTGCTTTCCTAGAGGCCTTCCCCACGTGGCCTGGAACATGGGCTCTGGGACTGGGATCTGGGACAGGGCTCTGTGGTTGGAATTGTGTGAATTTCCTCGCCCCTGCTTTTCCCATACCTGCAAAATGGGGTGCTCACAGCCCCGACTTCCCAGGATGGCTGTGAGGGCGGTCCACATGAGGCACTGGAGCAGGGCCTGGCACATAGGAAGACGGTGCCCATCACCGCCACACCCGCGTGGTGTCATTTGCCATCCCAGGCTTGCACTTACTCCTTTCTTGCCCTTCGATCAGCACCGCCTCCTTTGCTCTTACCGTCTCTTCCTTTCCCCAGTCGGGCACGTAGCCTCCAGCATACTGCCCATTGTAGATCATCCCAGGCACCAGAGTTGGAGCTTGCTAAGCTCTGCCCTCCGCTTTTAGGGTGCCTGCTCTGAGCTGGGCGCTTCCACATGCATTTGCTCACTTTCAGCCCTCACCTCAACCTTAATGTGTACATATCATTAGCCTCATTTTCCAAAGCAGGGAACCAAGGCTTAGAGATGATAGGTCACTTACCCAAAGTGACAGCTAGTTAGGGGTGGAGGTGGGGATGAACGTAGTCTCGCTGGGCCCCGGAGCCTTTTCATTCACCACCACACATTGCTTTCCTTGAGAGGTGGGAGCTGCTCAGCTGTGGACACACACAGGGCCCAGGGCGGCTACTTGTGGGCTGGGCCCACCAGGGCTCTCTGTGGAGTCCCCCTTCACCTCCCGCTCCTTTATTTTTGGGGTGCTGCAGGTCAAGTTCTGACTGGCTTTTTTCTCCAGCAGCACATTCCAGTCAGACAGGAAATGCCTCCCTGGGAGATCTCAACATGGTGGGGTGGACTGGGCAGTGCTCTGGCCCCCAAGGCTGCACAACGAAGCCTGCTGGCATTCTTGGGGGAGCCAAAAGATATGTAATACTTTTCCTCCTACCTTCTAAGTTTTTCTAGCTGGGCTGATAATCCAGTTAACAGACACAGACGAATGGGACAAAATCAAATTTTAACACATGCATGAGGAATTCACATAAGCGTGAAAATTCCAAAGAGTGAGGTAAAACTGGGTATATATGACATTTTGCACAAAGGAGAAAGGAGTGGGGGGAGGTGGGGCGCAGATCTTAGATTTCAGAAGTGAGAGTGATGGGCAATTTGCAGGTAACGGAGGAAGAGCGGAACACATGGGGCAGGTACATTTTTGCTAGGCAACCCAGAAACAATGAGACACCGGGTCATTGAGTAAATAAATCGGCCCCTGTTTGATGCCTTCCCATCCACCAGACTCAATTCCAATTAGGCTGCTAAGACTAACATCCTAAGATTCCCTCCCTGGAGTAGGTCTTTCCCTCTGAACCTCTGAAGCAGGAAGAGGGAGAGTCAGAGGTTCTTGCTGGGTCTTCTGTTTCTTAATTACCAGCTTACAAATCAATATCCCAAAAGGCAAAACTTTTGGTCCCCTTCGTCCTCCAGAGCCCTCCCAGGAAGTGGCACAGCCAGGCTCTTCTCAGGAAATGTGGACCTTTTTTCTTTGTAGTGGGTAGACCACATGTGACCTGCCTGTGGGTCTTACCAGGGGGACTGGGAGGCCCCGCTATTCCCAGGCAGGTACCCTCTGCTCCCTCCCTCTCCACTTCAGATAGCTGCACTTGACCTTGTTCATGCTGGCCAAGGATGCGGACTTCTGGGATGAGGTGCGACCGCTCTAAATCAACCCCCATCCATGGCTTTTGCTGACACTGCTTGCGCCAGCACTGCTGGGAGTGTGCAGAGCAGCCCTTTACTGGCCTGGTGGTATTGGCACCCGACACGTCCACCCTTTCCGTGAACTTTGACTCAGGTCAAAGGGGTAGCAGTGTGAGCCCAACCACTGCTCTCTCTCTCGCTGGCTTTCCAGCAGGGTTTCCTCTGATTTCTGGCATAGAGTTCATTGACCTGAAAGGAAGTCGAGTTTGCAAAGAGAGCTCAGAGCTTGGAGGAAGTGGAGAAGAGCTAAGGTCTGAGATCCATGGGTTTGATCCCTGTGACAACAGGGGCCTTATCTTAACGTCCCTGTAGGAGGCTTCTTCAGAGAGGGCACCAGGACCTTACTTGTAAAGCGACATCCTTGGGATCCACGCAGTGCCCAAGGAAGGGTTCTCTGAAGACTGTTGACAGCTGCAGATCAAAGGATGTAAGGGAGGACGGGAAACCCGAGTTGACAAGAAAGGTCTCCACATGGCCTTCAGGTCTGCTTTGTCACATGAGGGCTGTGCCAGCTGAGACTGCTGTGGCTCCAGGTGGACGGAGGTGCCCATCCCACCACTGTGAGAATGCCATCAGGGCAGGAAACCCACACACATTAATTTTTGGAACCTAAGCCTTTCCCTGCCCGGGTGTGGAGCCAGCCTCCTCTGCAAAAGGAACTGCCAGCCTCTTGGCCATGAATAAAGCGGGACGGGGCCATGCAGGCAGCTCTCCCCTGGGCCTGTGGGCAGTGGAGGGGTGCATGCAGACCAGGCCCGTGGGGCCGCACCAGAGTGTGTGCGCACTTGACCAGGAAGAGCCGAGAGCCAGCCCTGTCTGCGCAGCGGTGGTCCCTGTGAGCATGGCTGGTGACCAAGCGTCAGCAGTGGTAAGGGAGGAGAGATCTCTTCTGGACCCCTGAGAGCAGATCCTGGAGGACAGGACAGACTGGGGATAGATCCCCTGAGCTCAGTGGCTGTCCTTACTGGAGAGGCCAGAGAGCTTCGTCAGCCCAGTCTGGCAAGTCCCCCCACGGGTGGTGACTGGCTATGGGCCCCTCTCTTGCCCGCTCCTTCCAGTGGGTGTACAACATTCTTGACAAGAAGGCTGAAGCTGACCGGATTGTTTTTGAGAACCCGGATCCCTCGGACGGCTTTGTCCTCATTCCGGACCTCAAGTGGAACCAACAGCAGGTAAAAGATTTCTTGCTGGGGTTCTCGGCTTTCAGGGCACCCCGCTCCACGTTGCTAGCCCGCCTTAATCCTGCCCTTCTTTCTCACGTTGTTCTCTCTCTCTAAGCAGATTATATTGGGTTGTCGGAAATGTCATGACACATCTTTGAAAAACAAAAAATACATCATACTTTTCCGACACCCCAATAATTAACCCGCAAAGAGAGGCCTGAGCTCTGCGTTGAGAGTATGTATATACCTGTCACATACAAATGTTTACATTCTAATGAGTCAGTTTAAATCCTTTCTGACTCTTCCAATCCTCTACCTGTGTGTGAGTGTGTGGCGGGGGGGTGGGGGGGAGGGCAGAGAATGGGGTGATGTTTGTATAAGCCATGAGCCACTCTTTAACCAGTCAAGTGGCTTGGGTGGCCACGTGCACTCCCGGGAGCCTTGAGGTGGACTGTTTGCTTCTCTTGTCCCCCTGAACACCAACAGATCCAGGCAGGCCCATGGTCTGAAGTACTGGCCGGCAGTAACCATGGTGCCAATCTGAGGGGTCCCATCACCGCCCTAGTCCCTAGTTGCAGAGAGGTCTCCTGGCAGCCCCACCAGCACCAGAGCCTCTCAGCTTTCTTTCCTGGTTTCCCTGCTCTCCCTCCCCCACCCGTTCCTCCTCGCCTTCGCTCACACAGCCCCTCATTCTCTGCAGTCTCCCTATTTTTCCACCTTCTTTTTTCCTGCCCTCACTCCCCTGCACTGGCCCACTACCAGTCACAATGTACCATCGCCTCTGTGGGTGACTTTCATACCCTGACAGTAACAGAACAAGCAGAGCAGCGTGTTAACAGGAAGTGCTGTTCCCACCACAGATTGGAATTGGGTCAGACTGAGCCTGCAGCAGGTCGGGGGGCCAGGAGAAGGCCCAGGAAGCCAGATGTGGGGTTGCTGGGTAGGAAGTGGGGAGATAAACACCACCCCACCCCCACCCCCCGCTCTTCTAAGTAGAATCTTTGAGTAATCCAAGCTCGGGTTTTCGTTCTGCTTTTGGGTGGGCCCTTCTGGTGTCTGTGCGCCTTATGTGGTCACAAGACTCCCACACGGTGACGTCACTCTGGAGTCCAGGCCCTGTCCACCTTGCCGTGGACGCCTCGCCCCTTGCTTTCTCAGCTGTGGCCTGTCTGTTCGGTCTTTGGGTCCTAGCTGAGCTCACCTGCAGTTTGCTTGGTTTTGCTTTGGTGATTTCTAGACCTTCCATGGCACCCCTCCACTGCCAAAAAAGTGGGGCTGGGAGCCCGTGGTTGGAGCAGAGGGCCAGCATTTCAGCTCAGAGGCACACAGGCTAGCGAGTGAGTGCCAGCTGTCTATTGCAGGAGGCATGTGGGAATTCCTGAACATGGCTCCAGGGGCGGTAGGGAATTTGAAGGGAGTTTCCAAGAGTTGGAGTACTGCTTGATGATTTGTTAGAGCCAGGTAAGATGAAAGAAGACGGCCCGCCACGTGTGAGGCGTTGTAGGAGAGAGGCTGAGAGAACACCTGCGCACTTTCCCCTCCCCTGCAGCCTAGCTCTACCTCAGGCCTCCGCGAGGGAAGCCAGGACTGGCTCAGGAGATGTTGGGGGAGTTGGCACAAGGCCATAGGAATGCTGGTGGCAGCTCTGGGCTATGCCTTTTGTAGAGTCCTACAAACCCCATCTGTCCCCTCAGCAGCCCTGTGCCTGGAGGTCCTGGATTGCAGACTGGGTCATGGGAGGTGGGGGTGGGGTAGGAGGAACTTCTGACTCACAAGATCCTTGAAGACTGAAGAGCTTGTGATTTGAAGGGGGATGGTGGTCTGAGGGCCAGGCAGGGACAACAAAAGAGAGACTGTGCCTCCCCAAGAAGCCCTGAACCGCACTTATGCCCATGGCACTGAGAACGGAAACCATCATCCTTCTGACCTGGTGCTGGCAGGCATCCTGCCTGGCCTGCCAGTGGCACTGCCCTCTCTCTGTTCCATTGAAGACAGAAAAGGCTTCAGGAACTGCACTGGTCCCCCAGCCGCATGGCTGCCCTCACCCTCAGGGGTTGTGAATGGACAAGCTTAAATGCCAGACTTCCCTTGATAGGATATAGGTGCTATTGTTCTTGACCTTGGCTTAATTTGCATTTGTCTCTTGGTAGTGCCATACATCAGTGTCTCAAATTCCTGACATGTGACAGAACACTACCATCGACAGCTCCCTGAGCATTGGGCAGTGTATCCAGCAGCGAGACCCGCCAGGCAGGACTTCTGTTCACACCAGGGGACGGGGAGGGGAGAGGTGCACTGGCATTAGCTTTGGGGAGCCTTTCTAGTCACCTGGAATCTCATCCTGCTGTCTCCTCTCTCAGTATATCTTTATATGCTTTATATGCGTTTATGTAACCCTCCAACTGGTGGCCTGGGATTAGAGAGACAAACATACGACCATTCATGCATCCATTCCACAAATACTCGTCAAGTCCCTAATGCTTGCCTTCCTGAAGGTTATAACACCCCTATCTCAATTCTCTTAAGAGATCACCTGTACATTCTATGTGCGTATTTTATTGTAGCTCTGATTAATACATGCACATGGCAAAAAAATGCAAATAGTACAAAGAGTGTGCAGTGAAAGAAGTAAATCCCCTCACCCCACATGCCTCCATTTTCCTTCCCCAGAAGAGGTTGTTACTTCTTTGTCTCTCTTTCCAGAGATAGACTTTGCGTATTGTATATAGAAGCATATGTGTTTGTGTTTACGTAGATACACATACACTCAGTTCATATGATTCAGGTCCTTTGGTCTAAGGTTCTCAGACCAGGAACCTCTCCCTTTGAGTCACTGCAGAGATGGAGGGGTGGCTCTCCACAGCTCCAGCCATTCTGCCTTGTCCCTTACCAGGATGCTGTTAACTTTGATTTCACTGTCCTGCCTTGTAAAAAGAGATTGATGGTGTCTTCTCTCAGAGCGATTGATGGGCTGCCTTCTGCGGTGCCAATCTGAGACTCTCACCAGCCCCTTGTCCAGCTCCTTTCAGGTCATCTCTCCGGGCCAGGGGCCTTTTGGATGCCTGCAGAAGACTTGGGGGTAACGTCTGATACCAAAGGATGGGTTTTTCCTCCTTCACCCAGCCCGTGAGCTGACACCCAGCACCAGACTTCATGCCTCGTTCCATGCCAGTGGAAGCTGAGAGGTGTGATTTAATGTCATGTTGGGGATTTGTCAGCAGACATGATCTAAAACAAATGCTACTGTTATTTGGGAGTCCTGTGACAGGGACACATGGAAAAGCTGAAGACTCCCACAGGCACACACGGGCACCCCCCAAGTCTGAACAGTCTTGTTTCCTGACTCCTCCTTGGGCCCCTAGCTAGTGAGAGAGCAAATGTCGTGGACACGTGTCATGAGAAGGGAGAACACAGAAGGGACTTGTGGGCACAACGAAGGCCGAGGTGGGCACAGCCTTGTCATGTGCTGGGAGGTTCCTGCAGGGCTCATCCGTAGCAGGTCTGGGGCACAGAGCCCAGATTCTTAGAACTCGGGGAGAGAAGAATGTCTGTGGCAGGAAGAGGCTGTTGGCATGAAGAGGCACAGTTGAACATCGGGTACCATATGGAAAATCTCATTCTCACTTTTTGAGTCGGGGTCCTTGGGGATTCGGTTGGGTTACTCACGGTCCCCAGATTATCGCCTTGAGAAATCTAGCAGCTCAGACTACAGGGCTGAGTGCCTCTGGAGTCTCCCCGTGCCTCCCCCGTGGAGCCCTGGTGTCTGGGGCCCGCCTCGCACATTGGATGTGATAAGCAGCCAAGGCCAGGGTTTGGGTGAGCAGGGAGGAGTAAGGGGGTTATCTGGCAGAGGAAGAGCTTATTTGCTGTCTGGCACAAGATCTTGTTGACTGGTTCTTTGCGCTGTTGTGACCTCTAGATTTTCAGCCAAGCGCTGTTTTCAGGAAGGACAGCAGGAATGGCCGCCTGTGAGCCCTGGGAGATAGGGGAGGAGAGAAAAAGGTTAAGAAAAAGGGCGGTGGCGCTCATTGCTGAGCTGGGCCCAGGCTCCCTCTCCACCCTTAACATCCTTCACCACTTCTTCACATGCCTTCGACTCCAGACAAATCAGGTTGCTTCCTCTCCCCGTACATGCCCTATATCTTCCTGCCTCTGAGCCTTTGCTTTCACTGTCCCCTCTACCCGAAGGTCCTTTTTCCAAACCTACCTCTCCTTCAAGATCACCTGTCTTCTCTTCTAGGAAGCCTGCGTGGACGGTCCTAGCTAGGTAGTCTTCCCTTCTTCCTCCTGTACTTTTAATCACTTCATGTCTTATAGTAGTTACTTGTATGCATGCCATTAGAGCATAACCTCTTAGAGGGGAAGACTTGTCCTGGGCACTTTCTTGAACCTCCTTCCTGTCTCCCACCCCCACCAGCTGTGTGAGCATATAAATATTCCCATATAATGTTCTTTAGCAGGAGTAAACAGAAGCTCCTCTGTTCCGTAGGCTGTCCCACTCACCCTGGGCACGCGGTTGCCCACATTTTCTGGGGATCGGTCCTGCTGTGGGGTTCCTGGGATTGGCTGTGGCTAGAACTGCAGGCCTGGGGGATCGGCGCTGCCTGGCTTCTGTGGGCAGTTCCAGGATTGGTAGCTTCCCGTGGCTGTCCCCTGCTGAGCCTGTTTTACCCCTGGTCTCCGCACAGCTCGATGACTTGTACCTGATCGCCATCTGCCATCGCCGGGGCATCAGGTCGCTTCGGGACCTTACTGTAGAGCACCTGCCGCTGCTCAGGAATATCCTCCGGGAGGGGCAGGTGAGTTCCACTGGCCAGGTCACAGTGAAGCCCAGAGGAGCCACTCCCATCCCAGGGTGTTCCCTGCGCCACTTTCCTCTCCCTTCCTGGGCGGCTGTCTACAGAAAGGGCTTTCCTCGGGATGCCAGGGATGCCAGTGCGGGGGCCGCACGCAGGCTCTTTAGATGGACTCACAAGGCCCTGTCACCTGGTCCTGCCCAACCCTGCAGCTCGACTTCCAGCCACCTTCCTCACCCCACACTCGTCCTCCTCAGCTTAGGCTCCCGCTTCAGCTCCCTGTGGCAGATCCCTTCTGGGACGCCCTCCCACTCCAGGATTGCCTGCCTTGCTTGTGACAGCCACCTTGTGCCAGACATTGTTTTTGGGTAGCTGGGGTCCGCGGCTCTGATGTGTGTATGCACGAGCCTCCTCCTCTAGCCTGAGAGCAGCAACTGCATTCTGTAGCACCTGGCATTCGGGGATACTGTCTATCTGGGGTGTTGATCGAATCGAATGAAATCATAGGGGTGCTGAAAGGCCTGGAGCAAGGGAAGATGGGGGAAGAGAGTTTAGAACCCTGGGTTGTGGTCCTGATTCTGACGTTTTGACATTGGCCAGCTGGCTGACCTTGGGCAGGTCACCTCACCTCACCTCTCTGGGCCTCAGTATCTGGTTGGAAGCCTTCTGAATCCACCATTCTGTGGGGTTATTCTCAGCCTTTTTTTTCCACTCTGAAACATTTGAAGATATTCCCCTGGCCTCCCATGCCCGGGCCCGGCAGTCACAGATGCCCAGCTGGGAGAGGCGCTTGCCTCTTTCAACAGGAGCTGCTCCGAGGCTTGGATGCACTTAGAGGAAGGGTTCTGCCTGGGTCCGCTCTGTGTTACCCTCTGGACCCCAGCTCCCCATCGCTGCCCTAACCACTTTCTCTCTTCCTGCCAGCCCACGTCTCTGTCTCTCTGGCTGGCTTTTTGTTTGGAGTGACTCGTTTCTCCTGAAACAGACTCTGTGTGGCAGAGGGTGGCGTCTTTCTTTCAGGGAGATGCTGGGCCAACACTGTCACCTGCCCTGGCAGCTCTGGCAACCTCGCTGTGCTCATCCCAAGAAGCCCTTTGGGTGCTCTGGCCCTGGTCTCACGTGCTGCAGAGCTCCCTGGGGTGTATTCCGAGTCCACCGAGGCCCTAGTCTCTTTCTCTTCACTTCTGACCTCCTCAGGGATCTACCCACAATGGAAACCAGAGTCTCCTTTTAACTCCAAGCCTTGGAGGCTCCGGAAGGCGCTTGGTAGAAAAAGCCCTACCCCGAGCAACGTGGGGGTGGGCCAGAGTCAGTACTTGCTTGCCCCAGCAGGAGTCCAGCCCCTCCTTTCTCCTTCACCAAGGCCCTGGCTCAGCCCCATCCCCGTCCCCGTCATTTCCAAGCTGCACTCTATTCCACGCTAAGGGGGCGCAAGGATTCCTTCCACCCACGCAGTGCTTTAAGTGTTCATGCATCATCCCCAGCCTGGGTCTCTGGGGCCTGTCCTTGGGCACTGGGGCTTGCTAGATTCCCAGCAGCAACCGATTGAGGAAGCAAATGTTTGATCAGATTGGAATGGGGAACCCTGATTCAGGCCACTGCCTCCTTCGTTGGGAGAAAGAGCCTCAGCTTTGCCGCTGTCACCTGCGTCTGTGGATTCCCTAGACAGGCAGAGGGAACATGAAGCACCCTGTGGGCAGAGGGCTGGTTGTGGGGTCGGTATTAGGCGTCCCAAGGGAGTCTGGGATTAGGACAGGAGGAGGGGCGGCGCTGGTTCTGGGCCGCGCCTGAGCTCTTGCTGGCCACGCCCCTTCTCACCAGGAAGCCGTCCTGCAGCGCTACCAAGTGCCCGCGGACCGCCTCCGCGTGTACCTGCACTACTTGCCCTCCTACTACCACCTGCATGTGCACTTCACCGCCCTGGGCTTCGACGCTCCTGGCTCGGCGGTGGAGCGGGCGCACCTGCTGGCAGAGGTGATCGAGAACCTGGAGCATGACCCGCAGCACTACCAGCAACGTACCCTCACCTTTGCCCTTAGGGCAGATGACCGCCTTCTCCAGCTCTTGCAGGAGGCCCGGAAAAACTGAGTCCACCTACCCAGAGCTGTCAGGAGAATGGACATGTGGGAACAGGTGGGAGGGGGGAACTTTTAGCACCAAATGAATTTTTTAAAAATACATATTTTGTATTGGCTTATTCCTAGTATGTGAATAAAGCATTGATTTCATTCAGTGTGGACTTCCAGTGCAGCCTGGGGAGAAGGTGCTGAGGGAAGTGGAGAGGGCAGAACCCTGGGGAAGACCTGGAGAAGGGAGGACAGCCTTCCGTGGGGGTGGCTTCAGCTCACCTGGGGGTGCCAGGCCTTTCTTCAAATCCCGCACACACATCCTTGCTGATTTCTGTGTCCTGACTCTGACTGTTCCTCTCCCTGTTTTTACACCTTCCGATTCTGCTCCACGTTCCTCTTCTTTCCGAGTAGGTTTTCTAGGTCCACATGTCCGGGAGTACCCCAAAAAAACCAGTGTGATAACTTTCTGGAAATATCTATAGCATTTTTTTGATGGCACTTCCTCTTTCCATTCCCAACATTGAGCTCACCCCTGCCAGGGTGAGTCAACTGTGCTGATAAATTTGTTGACAAGGATGAAGGATTGCCGCATGGAAGTGGGAGGGTTTTTAATAAGAATCAGATGATGCAAGCCCAAAGACCCTGCCTTTGCCTCTGTTATTTGGTCAGCGAGTCCGTGGCCTTGAGCTTATTATCTAGGCAAGAAGACAAAACAAACTTGCACAGAGCAGACAGAAGATCAAGCACAAAACTACACCAGCGAGGGCAAGTGGTGTGGGTGCGGTGGAAGACAGAAGCCTGAGGGGCTCGGGCTCAAGGTGTGGCCAGCATCATTGGCCCCTGTTCATAGAACCTTGAGGCCAGGAAGGGACTTCAGAAGCTGAGCACAGGTTGATGACCTGTAGGGTGCCATCAGAGGCTTTTCTGGGAAGGGTGACATCTGCCACTGCTCCAACAGCAGGGACACAGGCATGACACATCCTTGTCAAGTTCGTCAACAGGCACGCACACAAACACATAAGGCACACTCTCCAGCACAAAGGACATGTATCGCGTGGCCAACGGGGCTGGCGTGTGCTAGTTATTCAAGGTGGGGCTGCCGGATGCTGGGTCTTGCTCAGGAAAAGCGCGAGGCAGGATGTTGATTTCTGCTGCATGATAAGAGGGAAGCATTAGGCAGAGGAGAGATGGCTCTTAGTCTGCATGCCCTGGGCTGAGAGCCAGGAGACCTGGACTGAGCCGAGCTCCATTCATTCATTTGTCCAATGTTTATTGAACACGTACTGTAGGTGAGGCACTGCCGTAGATCCTGGTGACTGGTGAACGAATGATCAGAAGTCTCTCTTCCTGGAGCTGACATTCACCCATAACATTGGCTAAGACCCAAGGCATTCTGAGCCTGCTGCTTTGTAAAAGGGAGCGGGGCTAAAGCTCCATGACTCAACCTGCTGTCAGTGTCAGGTGTGATAATGAAGCTTTACCATAAATGATGACTGGCTGATGGATTCTTGACCGGACAGCATCCTACGTACTGGGAACACAGAGATGACTAATGCAAATCCCTTACCCTCTGGCTATTGGGACAGACAGGCAAACACAGGAGTAAAAGCTGACAACTTTTGAGAAGCTCCCTTGAAAGCCAGGTACATGGAAGAGTCTGGTATAAATGTTTACTTTAGGAAATACTGATCTCGACAGTACCCAGCACACTGGCCAACCCAGGGTGCCTCTGGCAGGGCAGTCTAAGTGGAATAAGGCATTGAGGGTGAGGAGGCTGAGGGGGCTGGGTCAGAGGGGGAGGTGCGGCAACGGGGTGGACATCTGCTTCCCCCACCAGGTGGAGATGACAGCAGCCGGACCAGCTGGCTTGGAAGGGAACCCTGGCTTGTCTTTCTCCATGTATGTGAAAAATACATTGCCTGGGAAGGCCTGAAGAGGAGACCCCTTCTGAACTGTCGTGAAGATCAGTGCCAAGCGGAGGAGTGGAGGGAATGCTAAGTCAGAAAGGCCCCTCCTTGCAGAGCGAAGGGACCAATCCCAGTATAGCGCCTTCTTCTCCTTGGGAGATAAGTTCTCTCAGCGGGACTCTCATCTGGCTTTACGTGGAAGTTGTATGCTAGGAGAAGACTAACAGGCGACCCATCCTGAACTAGAAGGAAGATGGACGGAGCCTCCCCGGGGATGGGCCTCCATCTCCCTGGACCTGTGCCCTGTGAAGGCATTCCCTGCCTTTCCAGATTTGACTTCCTAGCCTGATCTGTCCCATCTCGCCTCCTTCCTCACAGGGTTACTCAGCCATCCATCAGATTTCCACCAACAGTCATGCATGCACTGGCACGACAGGGTGATGATGGGAACAGGAAGGTCCATAAAACACTCCCAAAAGCATGGTTCAGAGATGGGGAGAGCCTAGGACGAGGCAGTAGGTAAGGGCTGTTCCACAGGGAGGCCAGGCTTTGCCCCTCTGTCATGCTGGGAGGCAGGGATGGTGCTTACGCATCAGGACCACCTCTGCTTTCAGAGAGGCCAGGCTTTGTTCTCTTGGTTACTGCCATTGCAGTAACCAAGACCCAGGGAGGGAGCAGCCCTGCAAGCCGGAACTGCTCTGGACAAAACCTCAGGAGTTCAGCCCCCTGCACCTGCACCCAGAGACCCCAGCGGTGGCCAGTGCCACTGCCCACGAAAGTATTTGTTTTGACTCCATCAAACAGCTGCTCCGATGTATGGTGGGTCGTGGAATGGGTCCTGCCACCTCTCCCTCTGACATATAGCTGCTTGCCTCTGTCACAACCTGAAACAGTTCCTTTGCTGCAAACGCCATCTGACCTGAATCCTGGGACTCTTGCAGAGCTACAGGGAAGAACTGGCTGAGCCAAGAAGCCAATCACCTTGTTATGTTATGTCCCCTCTGAACTCGCAGCGGGCCCGTATGTAGCAGGTCTCTCCTCCTTCTGACCACACATTCCACTTCCCGGTCATTTCTAGGGAGTCTCTGTTCCCAGAGGCCGTAGGGCAGCTCCCCCCCCCACCATAGGCACTGTGGGCCTGGACCAGGTGGCAGCAACTGGGCCACCACCTGAGGTCTCTCACCTGCAAGTAAAGGAGCTTGACTCTGAATCCAGGTCTCCTGGTTCTCAGTCCAGGGGATGCAGAGTAAGAGCCACTCCTCTGCCTGACACTTCCCTCTGATCACTTAGCAGAACCGAACCTCCCCACCCCCCAATGCGCCGTCCAGAGAGCTTCCCGAGCAAAACCCAGTATGCCCAAGCCCCACCTTGACAAACGAGCACATGCCAGCCCCTCTCTGGCAGTGTGATACATCTGTCCTCTCTGCTGGAAAGAGTATCTTAAGTGTTTAGTTGTGTGCCTTCGAGGTGCGTGCCTGTGTCCTCGCTCTGCTAGAGCAGTGGTAGATGTCGCCCTTCCCAGATAAATCCTGGACCCCTCCACAACTGGCTCTCAGCCCCCAGTTCTTGGCCCTGTTTCTTCCTGGCTTGGCTGGAGAAGGAATGGAGCAGTTGGAGGCTCGACTGCTATGGCTTCTCTCAGTTTGCCCAAAAGTTTCCTCATAGAGCAAAATTGCTGAGTGTTCTATATTTGTCAACATTCCTTCGTGAAACTGAGAAAAATAACATTTCGAAACGAGTTGGACATTTAAGCTCCGCTTGGCGTGTCCCTGTGGAATACAGATCTCCAAATGGAGAAACAAATCAAGAAACAATTACACAGAAAGTAATTGAAAATATTTCTCCTCGTGTAATACTTCCATATCCAAAACATTGTAATGTATCTATTTTATTTCTAAATAGGTTAATGTAGGTCTGCTGTCTTCCTTCTCAGAAAGGACTAAATCTTGGGCCGGCCGAGTGGCTCAGTTGGTTAAGAGCTTGCTCAAGAGTTTGAGCTCTGAGCAACAGCGGTTCAAGTCCAGCCCGAGCTGAGCAGCCGCTGAGCTGCCAACAGGTAGCAGGATGGCTCAGCTAAAAAAAAAAAAAAAAGAAAGGACTAAATCTTTATTCCAGATATGTACACAAAATGTTAAAATGTCCTTTCTTTTAAAAGAAGATGGTCATAATTAATGGTAGTTGTTTAAATATCCTTACTTAGCAAAGTAAATGTTGGCAACCCTATGTTTGTTCTATTATTATTATTATTGATATTTAAATTACATTGGATTCTGAAATCTGTATAAACTTGGAGCTACCGAGTTTTAACCACTGTTAAAAAATAAGCATGGACTGAATCTGTTTAAAGTGTTTCAATTCAATAAACAGAATTTGGACATCTACCTTACTTTTAATTTTTTTTTCTTAAGCAAAAATCAGGGGATAGTGCTCACAGGGATCTTACAATTTAGTGAGGAACATAGGCATTAATTAGTTGCAAAGTAATTACAAGAGTGGTGAGTGCCTTGAAAAAAGCAGAGGGGGCTATGGGAGCTTATGCCAAGAGAAGCCTAACTTCTAGGCTAAAACTTGATGGCCAAATGCCTAGCACAGCAAAGGCCCCGCAATTAGGGAGACTTGTCTCAGCATGGCTGGAACCCAGAATTTAGCTTCTAGTATGGGCACATGGACATTTAGCACACTGGCCAATTTTTCCTTCAAGACTATGATGAGGAAATGAAAGTCAAGGCTAATGTGGGGGCTAAACACACACACACACACACACACACACACACACACTCACTTTTCCTCCCACCTTCTAAGTTTTTCTAGCTGAGCTAATAATCAAATTAACAGAGACAAATTAATAGGAGAAAATCCAATTTTAATACACGTGCATGGGAATTCATATGAGCATGAAAATTCCAAAGACAGTGAGGCAACACTGGGTATATATGACATTTTGGACAAAGGAAAAAAGGAGGGGGCAGGTGTCATAGATTTCAGAAGTGAGGATGGGCGATACATTGGCAGCTGAGAAAGAGGGGAACACACAGGGCAGGCAAATTCTGGCTAGGCAACTCAGAAACAATGGGACACAGGGAATCTAGCTAACAGGCCCCTGCCTGAAGCACTCCCATGTACCAGACTCAATTCGAATTAGGCTAAGGCAAACATCCAACAAGGTCTGATAATTAAGTTTGCAAACTTATTTCAACGATGTTGCTAACCGTTTTTTGATATCAGAGAGATTATTCATTATGAATTTATACCAACTGGACAAACAGTTAACCAGGTTTACTATTTGGAAGTGCTGAAAAGGCTGCGTGAAAAAGTTAGACAACTTGAACTTTTTGCTAACAATTCATGGCTCTTGCATCACGACAATGCACCAGCTCACACGGCACTGTCTGTGAGGGTGCTTTTAGCCAGTAAACAAATAACTGTATTGGAACACCCTCCCTATTCACTTGATCTGGCCCCTAATGACTTCTTTCTTTACCTGAAGATAAAGGAAATATTGAAAGGGAAACATTTTGATGACATTCAGGACATCAAGGGTAATACGACAACAGCTCTGATGCCCATTCCAGAAAGAGTTCCAAAATTGCTTTGAAGGGTAGACTAGATGCTGGCGTCGGTGCATAGCTTCCCATGGGAAGTCTTTCGAAGGTGACCGTAGTGATATTCAACAATGAGGTATGTAGCGCTTTTTCTAGGATGGGTTCACGAACTTAAGTGTCCTACCTCATAAGACTTCCTTCCTAAAGCAGGATTTTCTATCTCAATCTCTTGGGCAAGAAAGAGGGAAGGATCAAAGGTTCTTTCCGAGTCTCTTTTTTCTTAATTACCAGCTTTAAATCAATATCCCCAAAGAAAACTTTTGATCCCCTTCACTAACAAATTTCCTAACGTTCTGTTCCCCCTTTGAGAGGCAGTGTGGTCTGACGGTTTCGGGATAGAACCTGCACCATAACCAAGTATGAACTTGGGCAAGTTACATAACTCCTCCTAAACTAGGAGTGGTAACTGTGCCTACCCCAAGAGTTTTTGTGAGGATTAAACAAGGATTCTGTGAGCATAGTAATCACACAGTAAATGTTAGCTGCTATTTTCCCACTGTGAAAAGGGCCAAAAATTATGTCACTGGAGATATTTGGGCTAGATATTAAAAAGAACTTCCTGACTGGAAGGCTTCATAATCCTAGATTACTCAGTGGAGTCATGGCAACCAAGAGACCTTAAGGCAAAAAACAAGTCAGAAACGCTCTGTGGTTGATGGATCACAGCCCTAAACAGAGCCCAGGGGCGCGTACAGGCTCTCTCGCAGCCTAAAGGTTCCTGCGACGCATTTTCGCCTCAGCCAACGGGCAGGTTTCTAGGGCTACGACAGTGATGTCCCTGCTATTGAGAACCCTGGGAACAGCTCAGCTCCAGGGTCCAACCATATAAATCTGATAAAAATAGGAGCTGAAATACCATCCCGGAGTTACTATTTTTAAAAGCGTCTGAGATGCTGGATTGGGTTTATTTCTTCCTCAAACAGCATCTTGCTATTCCCTCCTCCCGGTGGGCAGGATGCTAACGTGGCACCTGTGAGGGACGGGAGCCAAAGCCTGCAAGGCACACTTGTCAAATGGCTCCAAGCCTCCTAGCTTCACCCACTGCACTGCCTGCCTGGGAGGAGCCTCAGGGCTGGGCTTCCTAGCTTTAGGTGCACCTGCCCCTTCTGTGCGTTTGGCTCCCGTCTCCCCCCCCTCCCACCTCCCTAGCCAGAGAGGTGTCCTCCGCAGCAGAGATAGACTCAGAAAGGTGAATGGCGGCAGCATGGCTCGGAACGGGACTGGGACCCACACAGCTGTTCCTCAGGTTGTCTCAACCCACACTTGGCACAGCTAACCTTTAAGAGGAACAATCCCCAGGAACAAAAGCCCTGCTTGCCCCATCACATTGCCTCTTGCTGAGCAGCTCCCATTGCGCAAATGAGCCAAGAGGGGTGCAATGGAGCTGGGTGGGGCTCCAGATGGCTCCAGAACCCAGTGCGTGGGATTGTAAAGGACCGGAATTCCTTCCTCCTGCCTCAGATGATATGGCTTCTGGGCACCTAGCTAAGCATCTGGTTGTGTGGTTAAGAAACTGGAGGGGAAAGATCATTAGTAAACACACTGGCCTAAGGGAGGAGTCAGAATTACAGTTAGCTTCTGGGTACCCAGTAACCAGGCTTGGGATAAGCTCTGTGTGTGTGTGTGTGTGTGTTGGAGGGTGCTGGGAGGGGGGAGGGGGGATCTAAATACAGCTTATCGGTTAAAGGAAGGACGCATCTGCCTAATAACAGCTCACACTTCTAGAGCACATTATAGTTTCAGAGCAACTTCATATCCATTGCCTAATTTAATACCAACAACAACCCTTTGAATAAGCACAGTTATTTCCTCTTTTTTTTTTCTTTTTTTCTAGTAAGACAACTAAAGCTATTTAGTGACAGAGGCAGAGCTGGAAATCAGGTATTCAGGAGCAAAAGTTGGCCCTTCAGTTCTATTTTCTGGCAGAGTGAAGTTTATGTGGGTCGTAGCAAGAATTGCAAACTGTTTAGATCTATTGATTAGTTCATCAAAGAGTTAGCAGAGCTTAGAAGCTGGGCTGATTTCTTGGTTCAGCTCTGCCAGATTCACCTAGTTGCTTTGGGCCAGTTTTTCCCACCCTGTAAAGCAGGGAGGATCTTCCCTCTGCTTCTGGACTTGCCTAGGGCTGGGACTTTAGTCCTTGTGTTCTTTGTACCTAGCTTAGTTCCAGACCCCACTCCCAACTGATAAACAATAAATATTTGTTGAATGAATGCTTGACTGACAAAGCCAAAGGCACCATTCAAGCATAATTAAATTAGGCATTAGTGAAATGTAGAAAAAACCATGCAAGGTATGACTTAGAGTGGAACAGTCTCCTGTAAGGACTCAAAGACCCACCCTTCACCAGCCCTTCTCCACTTTGCTCACGTGGAGTAGAGCTTCCTGAGTTATCTGTTCTTAACAGATGCGCCCTCCAAGTTTCAGCTGAAGTGAGTCTTGAGCTGGTACTTCTCTGAACCCCTTTGCACTTAAGGTCACTCCTTACATTTAGTCACATCCTGCCCTGCTGCTTCTTGAATGGGAGTCTATGGTCGCCCTTCTTTCTGCCGCTAAATGGTAAGCGTCTCCGAGGCAGGGACTGAGTCGCACACATTCCGCCAGAGCCCTTGGCACCGGGCTGTTCTGGACCTGTCACTCCCAAGCTGCTCCTTCTTCACCCCTCTTTTGCACACCCTATGTCACTGGGGGATGTCGGGGCCTGAGGAACTAGGGTTAGGGGCCTGATGTTTCCCCTGGAGACAGGATGCCTGGCGCCTTCCGCAAGGAACAGAAACTGAGAAGCTTTCTCCAGGCCAACATAGGGTGTGCAAAAGAGGGGTGCAGAAGGAGCAGCTTGGGGTGGCAGGTCCAGAGCAGGGCAGAGGACGGGCCTAGGTCTCGGTGCAGAGCACCTACCTGGCCGCTGTGCACTGGGGGGTGGGCTCCCGGAACAAGGCCCCCCTCTTCCAGCCTCACGTTCCGAGTGAGGGAGGGACACCGCTCACCGCGTGGGAGAGCGGAGAACTCTTTGTTGGGGCTCATTGTTCCCGGGAGGGTGCGCGGAGGCTGCGCGGACACACTGCATCCTGGCGCGGTTCGCAGGCAGCTTCCCCAGCTCTCCCCTTCCCCCCTCTGTCCCCTCCCAGGCCTTCGCGCCGCGACCCCATCCCAGCCCGCGGCCGCGGCCCCGCCCGCGCGATCCGCCAGCCCTTCTTCCTCCTCCTCCAACCCTTCCTTCCCCGCCCGCCGGCTCCCCATCTGCGCCTGGTGGTGTGCGCACGCGTGTCCGGCGCGTCCCCGCCCCACCCGGCCCGGCCCGGCCCGGCCCGGCCCCCGCCTCCCAGCAGGCGGACTGGCCCGCTCGCAGCCCGGCCCCGCGCCCGGGACTGGGACCAGTCGAGTGCAGCGCCAGCCCGTGCGCCCGCCGCGCGCCTAGCGGATCTCGGAGCCGCGCGGAGCCGCCCGCCCGCCCCGCCCCACCCTCCCGGGTGAGTACGCGCCTCCGGGCCCGCGGAGAAGGAGGGCGCCAGGGGCCGGCTGCCGGTCCCCAACCCCGCGCAGCCGGGTGGGGGGCGAACCGGCACGTGGACGCAGCCGGGGCCCGCCCGGGAGGGCGCCCACAGCTTGGGATCCCTTCCCTGGACCAGATTTTCGCGGGAAGCCGTTTCTCTCGCTCCCTCGGAGGGAGCAAACGGGACGGTCCTCTTATCCGGAAAGTTTGCAGCCCTCATCCTGCACCCAGGCTGAAGAGGCGCCCCACCCTCAGCATCCTCTGAGCCTTGTCTCCTCCTACAACTACCCCAGCAAGCCCAGGAGACCCGTAGGCTAGCTTTGCTGGAGGCGCAGGAGTCGAAAGCTCGCCTAGCAGAGTTCAGAGGTGGAGGTTGCTAGCAGCAGTCTGGCTGTGCCCAGGACACCAGATCCACGTTACTGGGGTCTTTGGGCCTAGGCCACTGTACTCGTAGGTGCCTGGGTTGTGGAGAGTGGGTTGGGGCGGTGGTGGGGTACTGATGGGGGCAAAAACCCTGGGCTCAGCTGTCTGCTCTGGGTCCCTCCCTTGGGGCCCCTGCTGGCAGGGCCAGCTGGGAACTGCCAACATGTCTGCCAGGACTAGCACGGCTCCTCCATCCCCAATCTTGGGGGAGGCTTCTCTGGGCCATTGGAGGCCAGATCGACTGCTGCTGCTTCCACTGTTTCAGACTGGGTTCCAAGGGCCTGGCTCCGGGGGCTCCTTCCTGAAGGCTGGGGTGTAGGCATTGTTGGGGCGCTCAGTGTGCATGTCTGAACTCATGGCCACCCACAGGCTGGCACCCCCACAGCCTTCTCAGGGAAGCCTGTGCTTTCCACCGCTGGAGGGAAGCACAGTGTGGAAGCCAAGTTCAGGCCAACTTATTCTTTGCAGAACCTTGGGAATGAGCCTGGCATGGACTAGGTTGTCACAAGAGGCACAAACCAGTGCTGCTCTCTCGAGTTGTACTCTCGGCCACCCGCCTCCTCCAGGCGCTGGCCCTGGCATCTGCCAGGGAAGTTTTAAAGGACTTGATATGTGTTAAGTGCTTTGAAAAGTGCCTGCATAGAAGAAGAGATCTGTAAGTGTTTGTTATTAGTAATGTTTCTCTCACACTTTCTCTCCAAACCTGCCTCATAACTCTAGAGAGGGTACCTGGGAGATGCCAGCCATTTGGGGGCTAGAAATTAACTTCTCAGCCTTTTTCTCATTGCTGGGAATACCCCCTGACGAAGCTGAGGTGGCACTGGTCCCCCTGACCTGTTGTCTGCTCTGCTCCTGTCCCCACTCCCAGTGTTCTTTGGGTGCCGTCCCATGGCATCCACACCCTGGGTGGGAGATCTTAGACTATCCGATGGGCCCTGTGTCAGTCAAGCAGTTGAGGAGAGCGACAGCTGGTGCCAGCCCCTCAGAGTCCAAGTTGACAAGAGTTAGGAGAGCAGCGTAGATGGAAGGAGAAGTTACCGGAGAAAAGTGCGAGTTGCCTGCTTGGACTGTGGGCTGAGCGGTGCGTGTAGCTGGAGAGTGGGTTGCTGCTCAGGACAACAGGACCACCTTCCTGGGAGTGGAGGCCCAGGGCTGCCTTCCCTTCCCCTCCTCACCCCTCCCCAACCCAAAGCAGTGACTCCCTCCCCAC